CCCCTGGAGAGGAGAAGGATCCAGGGAGAGCTCAGAGCCCCTGGCAGGGCCTGGAGGGGCTCCAGGAGAGCTGGAGAGGGGCTGGGGACAAGGCAGGGAGGGACAGGATACAGGGAATAGATTTAAGATGGAAAAGGGGGATTTAGATGGGAAAGAATTCCTGTCTGGGAGGGTGCCCAGAGCAGCTGTGGCTGCCCCTGGATCCCTGCAGTGCCCAAGGCCAGGCTGGAGCAGCCTGGGACACTGGAAGGTGTCCCTACCATGACAGGGGTGGGAATGGATGATCCTTAAGGTCCTTCCCTACCCAAACCATTCCAGGATTTTCTGATCTTGTTTCCTCCACTGCTCCCTGTGTTCTGCAATCCTGGCCATGCTCCGAGTCATGGCAGCGACCAGGAGCAAGGAAAAGCCATCCAGGGGAAGGCAAAAAGCTCCTGTAAATACCCAGATTTTCATTTTGGAGAACATTTTCCAGCTCCTCAGTGAAAAGAATTCTTCCAAAAGCCAGTTGAGGTGGGGTTTCCCCCTGTGCTCCCATCCAGCATCCTCCAGGATGTTGTTCCCAGGTTTTTTTTCAAAATGCCAGGAAGCACTAAGTAAGTTATCACAGGGAATGTTTAGAAAAGTCAGAGTTTTATTGAATCAGCTTGAAATTGAGTTGTTTTCCTGTGGATTGGGAAAAGAACAAAAACCAGTGCAGTAGATCTGGAATTGTTCTCCTCCAGCCTCATTAACCCCACAGCCAAACCCTGTCTATAAAATCCCATCTAAGAGCAAAGTTTCTCCATTTATGGCTGGCTGCAGCATCTAACCCAGCTCCCGTTCCAGCAGCAGCAGCAGGGATGGGCATGCTGCCATTCTTCCCAAACCAGCACATGGTCGGACCAGCTCTCCCCGGGCCCGCCGCTGCTGCAGACAAAGGCGAGGCGGTGCCGGGCGCGCCGCCCTTCCCTCAGGCACTGCCCGGCCTCCCGCTCCGGGCAGCCCTCGGCAAAGCTCCGGGACAGCCCAAAAACTGCGACTCCAGCCTGGGGGTAAGGAGCACAGCACAGCACTGCCTCTCCCCGCTTCCTTCCTTTCCTCCTTCCTTTCCTCCTTCCTTTCCTCCTTCCTTTCCTTCTTCCTTTCCTTCTT